GTAAACGAGCTTACTAGTTCATTTGCTGTGCTTTGGAGAAACGCCCTCGTAAATTGCAGGTGAGCGAAATTATTTTCGAAACATAATATACCTCCTTTATGATACACATTATTATTATTTATGTTTTCAAATTATAACGGTCGTTTTGAGTAAATTGTAAATGTAGGCGTTTACAAACCTTACCACACACAGGATAGATACCAAATTAGCTACTGTGTTTATCCGCCCCCGCACTCCATTTATACAAATAATGCATTTTTAGTACACCAGAAAATTGCGTTTGTTTTCTTGCCTTAGATTACCTGACTTTTTTACGGTATTTCTTTCGTTTTGTGTAACCAGAAATCGTCGAAATGTGCGAAGAAGAGAAACCAGTGAACAGTATGTAATCGTAAACGATTTGCTTATGCACATTTCAATTAGGCCAGTTATTTTAAATTCAGATTGGTAAATTTTACTTCCAAAAATTCTCTTCATCATTTCAATATACAGTGTGTCCCAGATCGCGTGGGATTGCATGGGTAACTTTGTTATTATTAAAGATAGAGAATTGGTTAAATGGGCAATGTTTTGCAGTTTTGGATGCTTATTTAAAATTCCCTTATGGAAATTCAAAATGTCGCATAGGTTCGACGTAAATTCAAAAAAACTAAAATTGGTCATTTCCTTGAATGTCTTATATCATCGAAGGTATAAGAGATATAAAAAAAAGTTTTATATAAAAGTGACTGTCTTTGATACGCTTAATTTAGAATTGATGTCAAAAAAAAATTCAAGATGGCTACTTTTGAGGAACATTTACCAACTTCCTAAAGTTAAATAGGCGCTATATGAGATTTTTAAATTACTTGATAGATTTTTTAATTCTCTTTTCAACGAGCCATCAGAACATAAGATTGAAAATAAGATACCAGTTATATCAACGGTTTTTGTATTTTAATCAAGTAGGCTGTGATGAATTAAAAAAAAAACAAAACAAAATCTATGCCAACAAAACAATGAAAATAATTACATCAGATGTTTAAAAAATCAGGGGCGCACTCATGAGAGGGGGGTTTGGGCATTACAACTCCCTCCAAAATTTTATATAAGTAGGCCTAGAAAAATTTTGATTTTTATAACATCACTTATTGACTATCTTATTATCCATACTTACATACCTACAAATGGTGGTATAACTACAAACTATCCCCTCGAAAAAATGTCATGCCATTATCCAGTTAAACACATTTCAAGACACTTTGCTTTATTTTACTATTTGATGCATTGTCCCAGGTCACATTTTGTAGGTCGGTAGGTGGTTTATCCGCAAGAATATCGAAACTAACAGTTTTACCAGTCCGAGTATATGGACAGATGAATCTTTTTCTAACTGCGGAGTGTTCAACTCGACATAATGAACACTATACTCGTCACAGGAAAACCTACATGATGTAGTTTCACGCCGAAATCAAGTCATATTTTTTTAAATTAATGTATTTTATGGCATAATGGGAAGTCATGTAATTGGACCGGTAATCTTTGTTGGATCTTTAACTGCTCACCATGATTTACAAATTCTCCAATAAACTTCCTTAAAGGATTTTTCTCGACAACGTATGTTTCGAAGAAAGGGTTGGTTTAAGCTACCTACCAACAAGCTGGCTGCTCAGGTCACAATTCACGAATTATGTACAGTACATTAAATTATAAAAGTAAGTACTTAATTAAAAAATAAAAGTAAAGTGGAAGTAGCTACCATTACAATAACAATAATAATCATCAATGGCAACACGTTGCCTAAACTAAACTGTCTTGAAGTGTGTTTCACTAATAATGGCCAGTATTTTAAACATCTGGTGTAATTATTTTCATTGTTTTGTTGCCTCGAATAGATTTTGTTTTGTTTTTTTATTCGTCCCAGACTACTTGATTAAAATACAAAAACCGTTAATATAATTGGTATCTTATTTTCAATCTTATGTTATGATGGCTCGTTGAAAAGAGAATTAAAAAATCTATCAAGTAATCTAAAAATCCAATATGGCGCCCATTTAACTTTAGGAAGTTAGTAAATGTTCCTCAAAAGTGGCCATTTTAAATTTTTTTTTGACATCAATTCTAAATTAAGCGTATCAAAGACAGTCACTTTTATATAAAACTTTTTTTATATCTCTTATACTTTCGATGATATAAGACATTCAAGGAAATGACCAATTTTAGTTTTTTTGAATTTACGTCGAACCTATGCTTCATTTTGAATTTCCATAAGGGAATTTTAAATAAGCATCCAAAACTGCAAAACATTGCCCATTTAACCAATTCTCTATCTTTAATAATAACAAAGTTACCCATGCAATCCCACGCGATCTGGGACACACTGTATAGTGTGAAAATAGGCTTACTTCGGTTTTTTCCTACCGTAACTTCCACTTTCTTATCGGAATTTTTTTAAATACAACAATAAAAATACAAAGAACCAAGATTATACAAATAAAATGACCACATTACTTTTTCTAGTTGTAGACTCCGGGCAAAATTTTGAATATAGCGAAACGTTGGGGTTTGTTATTGTGTTGTTAATAACCAGAAAACGTTCTTTAATTGATACCACTTTTTAAAAAAGGGAAATTTCCCTTTTTTTCACACACTTAATTTATAAATTATGCAAAAATGAGGCACTTAAAAAAAGACGCTTTGATAAATAACGCGCAAAAATACCCACAAGTTTATGATCCTACAGTTGTTTTTCCAACTGTTATTGGGAGACGTATTGAAAATGTGATAATTTTTTTAACTAGAAAAGAATTCCGCTTTACTTACATACTTACAAAGACATTTCAAACTTAATTATGGGCCAATAGTACCTGTTGAATGGGAAAAGTCTATGAAAAAATGCTGAATGAAATATTAACCTGGAGCTCTCATCTTTGCCTCTCCACGCCTCTTTCTTTTTTCCGGGTTCAAATCACTACTCCGGATTTTATCTCATCCCATTTACGCCCCTTTCCCCCGCAGTTGCTGCTTGAACCACCCTTCCCCTTCTTATCTCTCTTTCGTGCATTTTTTTTACATCTCTATGGCGTCCTTTAAAGTTTTCTGCCACGTTCGTCAAGTCGCCTTTGCTATTCCTTTACGGCTACTGCATGTTTCGTTCAAACCTGGATCACACTTCCTTCAAACCTTCTTCGCGCGTCCGTTAATTTTCCTCTACGCCCTTCCTTCCTTTTTTTCTTTTTTCTTTCTCGCTTTTCTCACATCTCGTTTACATTTTCTTTGCACCTCCTCCACCCATCCCGTTTTTTGGACGCCTTTTCAAGTTTTCTTTACCGTCCTTTTAGATATCCCTCTTACATACCTTCTTCAAATCTTCCTCGTGCTGCATTCAAGCTTTCAGTGCACATAACCCAGACAAAAAGTTCGGAAAACACCGGGGTGAGGGGGAGTCCGAGTAAAAGGCTGAAAGGCTGTCGAAGAGCTTTTCAAAGGCTGCAGTGGTATAGAATTCCGTAATCCGGTACTTACCTAGAAAACTCCTTTAATAAGATTCATCCCGATACCTGCTAATCCCATTATTAAATTGTATGACTGGAGTGGGAGAGATGTATCCCGATATTTATTATACGCCATCCCTCGTCTAACAATTCTGTCATTAGACCTAGAGTAAATATTTACGAACCTAATTAGATATCAATTATAATTTATATTAAGCATAGATTAAGCTACCCAATCCAATTGGGCATTCAAGCAAGTAATTAATTATTTAATTTTTTAACATTGGAAATGCCTATGTTTTGTATATGGGTATGAAGTTACCAGTATCGTTCAAGCAGAAAAGACAGGGGTGTCGTATTAAGTGATGATTGTACCGTACTCTGCCGCAATCGGTAGGTTAAGGAAAAGTCGCAGACATCTGTCCATACGGTACTTACTTAATAGTGTGCAATTGTTTTGTTAATTCCAATGTATAATTCTCGCACATCTCCTTTAATAGGATTACGAGCATGTTATGACGAGGCTTATTATTCAGAACGTGTACGTTTGCGACACGAGCGAGCTTGCGAGCGAGTGGAGCAAGTGATCCCGGGTGAATTATTTGTGTTTTACATATGGCGTTATACGGTTATCAGTTCCAATGTTTTCGATGGTTGCATGTATTGCGAAATCTGTAAATGTTAATTATTCTATTTTGCGTCAAATATAGGTTCATTTAAACGGTAATTTAAGGGTATTTTACACCCCTCTAGCAAGAACTGGAAATACATTCCCATCCCAAAGCTTTATTCAAGGTGTTCCAATCTCACCTAGATTTGCAGAAGTTCTAGAAAGCTTTGAAAAATATTTGAGATGATGCCAAAATCTCTCCATAAAATGCTTTAAAAGAGGAAAGAGTAAAGGAACTGTTTTTCAAAGAAATCGAAATGTACACCAGATCCGACATCTTGCAGAGCATGGAAACTTGTGAAGTTAAAAAACAATGAGTACTTTATTTATTGATCTTTAGATACGAGAAAGTCGTCAGAAGGCCTGTTCAACCAAAATTCGGGTGACTTTAGAAATTCTTCGGTAACGGCTGTCTCGTCGCTCTAAAACGAGAGGTGCATAAGGCATGTAATATAAACCTAGAGCTCTTACGTCAAGGTAGTGATCTGTGGTACTTCCAGACGAGTTGTGAATGTCCATCGGTGAGCCAACACTGTATCCTCCACGCAGACGTGACTTACAGCAGCAGCATTTCGCCTTAAAGTTGTTTAGTACCCTGAAACGGTTCTCGGTAAAGCGGCATTTGCAGGTGTTCGAGACTTACGCGGTTATTTTTTGGAAGTTCTCGTAGAGCTGAGCATAGGCGCACCGAAGATACTGGATCTCCTTCAGGTAACCCTGGTTTTTGACCTCCAGCTGCTGTCTGGCACTGCGCAGGTGGTGTATCTCGCATAGACAATTCTGCACGTGCTGCTCGCTCGCCAAATTATGCTGATCGAGCTTAGTGGCGGCGTCTCGCATTTCGCTCAATTGCAAACAGAGCGCTTCGTTCTGCAAGTACAACTAAGTACATCGACACATCTTTGGGCCTACTCTACCTTAGCTCGCAACAGGTCGTGCTGCCGAAGAGCTTTCTCCAGCTCGTTTTGAAGCGCGATCATTTCCACGTCGCTGGGAGCGGGCGCGCCTGATTGTAATCGAGCTTGGGTAGCGTCGATAATCTTGTCTTTAGCTTGCAACTCCTTCCGAATGTTCGCACACTCCTCCTGCAGTTTCGCAATGTACTCGTTGAGCGTCTCAATCTCTTCATTGGCGGCCCTTAGACTCTCCTCAAACTTTTGCTCCAGCTCCGTTTCGAGGGACGTGTAATTTTGATTTCGAGTCTTACTACGCTCGTAATCCTCGCGCAGGTATTTACCGGCCTCCTCGGCGGACGCGAGCTTGCTCTGGAGCTCACCGATCGTGCACCTCAAATCGCACACCTCCCTCTCGTACATGTCCTTATTCTCATCGATCTGCTTCCGCATGCAACACAGCGAATTGTTTTGCACGCAAAATTCCGTCTCCAGCTGACTGTACTGATCGACCTTCTTCTGCAGCAGGTCCTTCATCGCTACGAGCTTCTCGCGCAGTTGCGCCACATTTCCTTGGCAAGTTTCGATCTCCTTCTGGCAGTAATCTGTGCGCTCGTCCGTTACGTTATAATTCAGCTCGTATTCGCTGATGCGCGCGAGTAGTTCAGTTATCTCCTTCTTCAGCTCGTTGTTCTGGCAGACGGTCCAGCATAGTTTCTGCTGTGTCTCGTGCAGAAGTTCGGCGTACTCGCTCATTTCGCCCACCTTATCGGTGAGTTTCTGCTGTAGATCACGCACGCGTTGGTCGACGTTTTCCATGCCTAGGTTCTGGTAGGCCTTGTTCAACTCTTTGGCTTCATTCTGTAATTGACTTATATGGATTGAAGTCGACGCGAGGGTAAGTACGAACCACAAGACGGCGCATAGCGTCGCACTCGCATTCGATCTCCTCAACTCGACCTTTTAGAGTGTCTCGTACGGGCTGAAATTACAAAGATTTTAAGTATGGGACACCAAAGTGCAGTAACGATTGATGGTGGGATTGTTAGTGCTTTAGAAAATGTACACTGCACCGGAAAGTAACTAGTGCACAAGAAGCTCTGAAGAGGGTATAGAGCATTGAGAGGGACTAACGATCGGAACCGGTTCGATTGTTAGTACTTGCGAGATGTTAGCACTGCATCAGAGGGTACCTAAATTCCGCTAAGAAACGATCGACACCGGTCAGATTGTTAGCCTATCCAAACTTAATTTACCGCTACGTTCTCAAGTTCCTTCTCCAACCCTACGATTGTCTTTCTCAGATCGTCGACTTCTTGCGAGTGCCTCTCTCTTTCTTCTTCTCGTTCCGTTCGCAACTGAAACGTTATATTTAGTCCGTGTACTTACGGAGACAGTCAGTCGAACCTTCGCTATCTCCTGAACAGCTTCGGACGTTGACGAGGGTTCCGTTGTCGATCCGGCGCTATCTGTCACAATTTCGACGGAAGGCGAACGAGATTTCTCCGAGATTTGTCCCGACTTGATCGACCTGGTATCTTCAACAAGGGGTGGGGGTGGGATTCCGGCCGCCGACCGAATTGACTTAGAATCTTCAACAAGGGGCGGCGGTGGTATTCCGGCCCCCGACCGAGTCGACTTGTCTTCACTGGGTACCGGCGTTATGAGAAGTTTGTTGGCTTCGGGTGGTTTCGGAGCGACTTTAGCAGGAGTTTGACCTGTCTCTTTTTCGGCGCGCGTCGATTTGGCCGATGCGCTCGTCGATACCGATGGCCAAGACGCATCTGACTCGGTTGACGGTAACACTTTGACCGCCTTAACTGCCCTATCCTTCTCCCTAATCGCCTCTTGTAACGCTTGTATCGTTTCATTCTGGGCTTGACTCTAAGACCGTCTCGTAAGCGCTGTAATGGAAAAGGGTACTTACCATCGATTCACTTTGACGCCTGATGGTATCTATCTCGCCTTTTGCCTTCAACTGAAACGAATAATTTACTGACCTAAAATCGTAGCCTCGACTTTACGTTTTCCTTCTGAAGCCTCTCCAGCTCGCCTTCTTTGGACTTATTGTCCGATTGCCAACGGGACTGGGCCGTTGAAAACTGATTCTGCAATTTATCAAGAGCCGCTTGAGCTTCGGCATACTTGCGCTTGTACTCTTCTCGTTCCACAACCTAAAATCAAAGTATATACTGAGTGATCGGCTCGTAATTCCCAGCACAAGGAAAAGAATGACACTTTGAATTGGTCAGCCGAGTTTGGGATGGACAATTTCATGTATTTCTTCGGATTGGACCAAACCTTAGTTTCCTCAGATTTCCGATTCTTATAGCTTCACCCACTCATCTCAAATTCTTATGAATCTCAGATGCCTCAGATGTCTTCCGTTTTGAGATAATCTTTCGTAATTTTCATGACAATTATTGTTTTTTTACAAAGGGAGTAAAAATTTGTGTCAAAGCCACGTCAGCATAATTTCTGCTAGGGTAAATTCTTTCCTGTTCTGAATCCCTTTTTATCTACCGTAGGGGAAGTAAAAATAGGGGACGTAGGACTCAGCGTAGGAAGAAAGCGAAGAAAATTACACGAACCACACCACAAACCTAAGAACATAACCCAACTTTTATAATAGCAACCATTGCAGTCACTGGGTGTAGGGATTCTTTGTAATTTTTCGAATCCTTGTAACTCAGATTCTTCGGATTCATTTAATTATTCATTTATCTTCGTCGGCTTCTTCAAAGTATTCAGATCTTCTCGTTCCTCAAGTTATCTTCATATTATTTGGTTTATGCAATTCTTCAAACTTTTCGCTTCTTCAAACGATTCGGATGAACAAAACAATTCGGATGAACAAAAGAAGAAATAAGCATCAAAAACTTTTTAGCTCGATAATCGGTGACCAATTCAACGGATTGACAAGTCGGATAGTTACGTATGTGTTCGCCTGCTCGTAAAACTTCTCCAGCTCCCTGTTCGCTTGGAAGATGGTATCCTTCAAAGTGCGATTCTCGTCTTCGAACCCTCTCACCTAAAAAAAAACAACGTCGGAGTCGCCTTAATACCAAAATAAATCTCACCATGTTCCTCAGCTCGGCCGCTCCGGTTTCCGCATCGAGGCTCATCTGAAAAAGGCGAACGTTGAGAGTTTGCATCAACCGTTGATGATGCGACTTATCACTATCAGAAGCAGGGGTTGGAGCCCATATGAAATATAGGTTCTAGTTCTGCACTATTTAGAATTATATTTTAAGTTCACTTTACGTTCACATAATTTTTTCGGGATTTTATTGCAACTTGCAACTGCTTTTACCCTGTTTTTATATTATGTTTTATGTATGTGTTTTATTATCAATCATTTAATACAACGAATTATTATACACATCAACACTATTGCCCATTCGAGACTATTTATTAACTTCTCAAATAACTGATCACAAAGACTTATTTAACATTTGAATTACACTATTATCCCATTATAGTGTTTGATTTTGCGTTCCTGCCCTACGATACGTCAGGTCATGGCGATTGGCGTCCCTTACAACTAACCTAAGGAGACCCTGTCTTAGATCACGTGCCACATTTAAGCGGGATCCGATTATCTTTTGAGGGCCATTCCGGTGACCATTTTTAAAAGTTTCCGGGTTGATTTTATATCCGTGTTACAGTAGCGTGAAGTTAGTTACACACTTCAGAACCAAATTTTACCAGCAATTTGCACAACGGTTTCGGTTCCAAGCGAGCGGACATGCCATTGGTTCCGGTTCAAACCCCTGATCAAAAGTCATGCGTTAAGTTAATAATTTATTAAAGACCTTAATAATAAATTACTACAACTAAATGAAGCGATTATTCTTACACTCGTTCTGCTTCTGGATATTTAACTCGAGATTGTTTATGAAGGTTCTGATCGGCGGACGATCCGAATTGGGGATGAATTTACTAACGATGCCGCTCTGGTGGCTCGTATTACTGATCCTGTAGTGCTCGTGCAGGACGTTGTTGCAGCTCAGTTTGGGCGCCTGGTTGCACTGGCGCGGGCTCTGAGGAGTGTGGCGGTTGACTAAGCCCGAAGTACGGTAGTACGGTTGATACTTACGTGCGCGATGGGCTTAGGTTCGTTGGGGATGACCATATGATAGTGGGGTGAGCACGGTCTGGTCCACTGATGACATATTCTGTTGTAAAGGTAAATGAATTGACCCGGTTTACTTTCGCGCTGAACGGGCTGGGGTGGTGGTGAAGGCTTTGGGGGCGGCAAGGGGCGAGGGGAAAGAGGTATATCATAAATAGCCGTGTAATTTGGAGGCGATCGGTTTGAGGCACGTTTGCGCCTGGGGGTTGATTTTTTCAGTTCGCGCGTATTTGGCGAACGAGATCGGGCGGAATCGTGTGATTTTTGCGAGGTTTGAGTTCGCGCGGACAGTGATGGACATTCAGAACTGGACAAATCACCGACGCAGATACATCTCGTTGACGGACCCGATTTTCTACTACGCGAAGCCTTTTCACGATTTGTACCAACAGATTTGGACAACGTTTCCACACAGATACACCTGGTTGACTTTCCCGACCTGACCGCACCAGGTTTCCTCGCAGTAGAAGTCAGTGATTTGGCGTCAACCTGCACTGTTCTGGAAGATCTCTTCGGCACGCCATAGGTCGGTTTCCGCAAAACTGGAACTTGAGATCGAACAATACCAGGCGATTTTTTCGCCGATCCCACAGCGATGCCGCTTTTGGGCCTACAACTACATTTGGATTTTAGAGACCTCTGCGACGTTTTCGCTTGCAACTTAACGTTGCACTTCTTCGCTGAAATTTTGACGTTCTCCATATCGTCCATCTGAAATGAAAATTCGATTGGGAACGTTATCGAGTAGGCACTAGTCATACTGTTTCCTCCATGCGGCGAATTCGCTCGCGCAGCTTAGCCATTGTCCCATCCTTGGACTCGCACTCGTTTGTCGCCTCCTCGAGTTGCTTTTTCAAGTTCTCTACGTCGCTCTTCAATTTCCTGATCATCTCATCTTTCACCTTCGCTTCAGCTGCACAGTTATTTTCTTGGACCACCGCATCTTCGCGTAATCGCGCGATGACCCCCTTCCCCGTTGCCAACTCCCTCTCTACGCCTTTACACTTTTCTCTCAGTTCCTCCATATCGATTTGCATTTGGTTAATCACATTGTCTTTCCTCTCGCTTTCCCTCAGGCATTCTCTGTGTCTTCTTTCCAGCTCATCCATACTTTTTTGCATATCTCTAATCACGTCGTCTTTCATTTCTAACTGTGCGCAAGCACCCTGGTATTGCGTCTGTGCCTTTTGCAAGCTCTTCCGAAGCCGGCCGAGCTCACCCGCCGCCTCGGTCAGCTCCACCACAACCGAATTCGACTTCTCCAACGCCTTTGGCTAAAAAAACGTTTCTGAAAGTGATCTTCTTTTACCCCACATTTTTTTAATAATAAAAATGCGAAAACTTCTAGAGTTCAGAAAATTAATCAAAAGAGAAATTTTTTTAATATAAACAATTAAGCAAAACGCCACTCACCTTTTCTTTGAGTACCTGTAACTCCAACTGCAACTTTTGCACCAGATAATCCTTTTCTTTGAGTTCAGAGAGAACTTGATCGTAATCAGCTTGCAACTGACGCACTTTTTCGCGCAACTCTTCGACCGGCGGCACATGTACCACGTCGTAAATTTCGGTACTTACCCTCTTAACGGAGTTGATTTCTTCTTCCTTCAGGCGCAATTTATGCTGCAACGCCTCCAGGTCGTCTTGCTTGGGCGATTCGCTAATCCGCTTCTCGAGGTCCTTCACTTTACTAAAAAGGCAAAACTCAATTTTGGCCCACATGAGCTCTTTGCTTACGAGTCCAATTCGGTTACATTCTTGTTGGCCTAAAAATAAAAAAGGGATCTGTAGTGTTCGACTCATTCAGGTTTGCTCTAAGCTACTTGGAAATCAAATGCGTTTGTGAGTGTTTTGGTTTATTTCAAACGTTTACAAGTCATTAGTTTTTTGCTCAACTACTTCCAAAATGACTCTCAGCTTGCTATCGCTCCCTTTCTTCACCCGTCGGTGTAAACTGTCAGTAATCTTCAACGAGACGTTATCCTGGCGCTCAGGGGGCGTCGGGCTAAAATGAACGAGTTCCCCCAACCCCTTTGTACTTCAAATCATACTTACGGAATTAAGGAACATTCACATTTTAAAAGGAAAGTATCAGGATTGACTGTAAAAAATTTTAGACCGTTAGCACTCCACCGGTTTTCGTCACGAGCGCGTTTTATAACTTCAACTAAACTACGCACATCACTCTCAAGCAAGCGTATCCTCTGCAACGGCAAAGGTTACCACGCCGGCCTCCAACCCCCAAAAGCCTACCTTCTCACTGGAAAGTGTCGACGTCTCTAGCTTCTTCGCGAGCAGCGCGACCTTATCCGCCGCCTCCTTCTCCAAGCTCTCGACGATCTTCACCAACATCTCATTCTGCTGGGTCAGGTCGCGTATCCAGTCCTGCTGCAGATTCACCCGGCGCTGCAAGACCAACCGTCGTGAAGGCACCCGCCACGGCTTTTTTTACCTGTAAGTTATCGCCGCCTCCAATGTTTCCGATCTCCCTCAGCTTGGCCTGGTACGTTCGATTGAACTCCTGGATTATCGCCAGTGTTTCCGTTTCGCGACATATCCGGTCGCCGAGATTGACTTGGCAGCCATCCGGGCCGAATTTGATTGGAATTGTAAATTGGGAACTCATTCTGTCGACTGTTACAAAAATTTCGGGTTCATTTCGTTTTTGAACATCTTCGAAACATAATCTGTCATATTAGAGTGTCGTTTGTTAGTGGTATGGCGGCTTGATTTTATCGAAACGTATACGTAGACCCGAAATTAAATTTCGTAGGGATTCTACAAATTCCAAGGTGGAATTAAAAAGTGAAATTGGACAACACGCGTAAAACATCTGACACCACTGTGCTTAACTTGTTTCTGCACACTTTATTTTGATACCGAAAAATTAGGCTTTCTCATAAACAGGCTGACTGACCGTAAAAAATTCGCGTAAACAAAAAATACACGCTCTTCAACCGTCGCAAAGCTATTTCGTTGTCTCCAGTATTTAACGAACTACCACTTACACTACAACCCCTTTAAAAATTTTTAAGTAAACCGCCAATCACAGCGGAACCTGCCAAACGTTCCCACTTCTCCAATATAAAACGCTCAATTTTTCGAAACGTTTTTCGTTATCAGAACCAGATGTGTATTGTGCATTTGCTTGAAATTAAATAACTTTTGCCTGATAATAAAGCTACTTATCGCAGGCGACCAGATGTGACTTCTAACACCTTATCTAAATTGAACAATTTACAAAAGCTATAAAATTAAAACGAAAAAATTACGCATATAAAAAATTTCTAAGAGGAAAAACAAACGCTGAGATACAAATTCAAGTAAAATAAACCAAGTTTGTGTTTGTTCGTAAATAACCCCCTCCCACAGATTGACTTAATACATTGAAAAACTATCGTATACAGGATGTGTCGTCATTATCTCTGGTGTTCGGTATTTAGATCTGCTTTTTCTGCTTAGGTAATAGCCTAAAGCCCCTTGCAAGAGACGGGTTATCCTGGACTGGTTTAATTTAAAGTCTATCACATAAATTATTATCAATAGCGATAAATGCAGGTAAAGCAGAACTACATATACATAAAAATCACGTTTAAAAATCAAAGGTGTGGGGTTGTGTACACAATAATAACAAAACAGGACTCATCAACGTCGTAAAAGTCAAACCAAGACGTACGTACCTATGTGTTTCAATATGGCGATGCCCATCGCGTCAGTCGTCCATGTCTAGTCTCTATTCCTCAAACGTCAATGATGAATCGAAACATAAGGTGCAACAACGAACACCCGCCACCACAAGTTTCATTACATGCTGCCATATTGCACGTTGCAGCTGTAGTATGTACGAGGCTATATAGTTCATAAATAAGGAAATTCATTGAAATCGTGTTTTAAGTGTTGAGCTTAGATAATAGACCCCTATTGTGCGAGCTAAAAATAACGGAATAATTTCTACATCGCCTTAAAAAACTAAATATTTCCGAGGAAAGAATGGGATTTTACATCTGGATTTAATCTTGGTAAACAAGGAGACAAGATGTCAATTTCCGTACTGTTGAAATCTTGTATAAAGTTTTGTTTCTAACTCGAATAAAAACTTTGGAAAGGTACAACATTAAATTTCTGCAGTACTTTTAATAAAAATATAAGTTGGTACATCGCTTTTGACATAGAAATACTTTATTCAAATTTTATGTAAGATTTGAACATTTTTAAGGTATTAGCAATTCAAATTTTTTCTTAGCAAAGTAAACAACTTGCTCGATGACATATTCTGTCCTTCTAGTTAAGAAAATCAACATCGTTCTTTTTGAATTTTTCTTATAATATACAAACTACCCCGCATATGTAAATGTGAGAAGCCCCTAGCTACCTATTCTGAATCTTAAATTTGTCTTTGTGAAGCTTATAGTAATTTTGCTTACATCTCGTATTTCTGTCTTAGACTGAATTGATTTTAGGTGTGAAGGGTGTTGGCGGAACGGAACAAGCGTGGGGCCATGTTACGGTCCGACCCCATGCTCACATGTTCTGGTGGTTGTACTACACCACCGCGAACGTGTCTCACTTTACGGAACGTCCATTAATAATATGGTTGCAAGGTAAGTGTGATCATTCAAACTTTTCAGCTCGTCGAAGAATATTCGTGACAAGCGTTTCACTTATCAACAATTTCCTCTGGACACGTCAAAGATCGATATAATATTAAACAGTCACGTTTCCAGAAATGTGCCGTTCACGGAGTCGTGAGATGTTAAATTATATATTAGTGAGTAGGTAACGGAAAATTCGCATGATAAACGACGCTTCTAGGCTTAATGAAGGTACATTTATAATTGCACCATTTACATTATAAGCCATTTGAGGAATTTCGGTGGTGTAATTTCAAATTTAAGACACACATTTTTTTAATAAAGTGACAAATAAATTAACGTAAATGAAATAAGAATACCCTTGTAATAAATGCTCATACATTTAACAGAAAATAAACATTTTCTTTAACAATTCGAGGACACAATAGGTATATCTTCTGAATTGGATCTAATCAGTCACATTTTCGAGTTTATTAGTAATTAGTAGGTACCTACAGATTAATTCAATTTTCAAAATATTTTCGCACGTCAATGTTAGGTCCCGTAGGTTACTTGTTTAGAGTACCTACACGTTAGCCATTCGTGTAAATGCGAAGGTCTTTACTAGTTGCTTTGGACTGCAGTGAAGTTTGATGAAACCTATTATGTCACAGTTACGTAATTGCAATAAATCTATTTACTCAGTATTATATTAACAAAGTATCACTTTTGCTTTTGAAATAACTTAACTGGTCGATCTTTGCGAAAAATGTTGATTTGAATGGGGAAATTTCAGAGTTTTCACCCTAAAATTGTTTAAATTAATTATCTAAGCGTGTTTACGCAAATGGTAGCTGTATCCTCTTTAGGTAAAGTTATTTTAATAGAATTCGGATTTGTTAAAACGTTTATTTATAGATTCTGGTCCCAACTTTTCACTGCTGTCTGTGTGCCATGATATTGGTCGGTGGTCTCTACTGACTATCTTTATATGATCTTCTTAGTCTCAATTACTTGACAGCATTGATTGTCGTTCTACCGTAAGAATTATTTGGCCTTTGACCAAGTCGTGCTTTATCTTTGTAGCTTTCATATTATGGGTACTCTTTGTTATGGGTCATATGTTTACGTTATGCATTCAGATCATCAGATCCCTGTAGGTTTGAACCTCAATTGATGCACCCCGAAGAAAACACACAACAGCACGACAACACGATGACAATTTTAACATTGCCTGAGTACGGACATGGCTTGATAGAAGTCCAAAATCGAGCGAAAGGTCCAGCTGTTATGAGGTCGTCGGCGCTCTCTAAGGATGCCTCATCGTCGTCTCATCCCTACCGATTCCAAACCACCGAGGTTGTACGGCCTACCCAAAATTCAGAAGCAAGTAAATCCTATTTCCTCTTCGTCCCATACTCGCCTCTATCTCGCCAAACATGTGTTTCTTATGACCCTGAACCTGAAAGTTACTGAAGAGCTATCAATAGTATATCGGAAGACAAGTGTTACAATGCGACCTATTGTAATACTCCTATCTTGTGGCACGAGTGGCGTAGCAAAGCGGAGCCACGAGTGTCGACAAGATAGGAGTATTACAATAAAGCATCGTAACACGTGTTTTTCATACTATTTTTTCTATTTCGGTGTCACAATGAGAATTTTGTGCAACTGTTTTCGGCAAAAACAGTGTTTCAATGAGTTCCATTGTAACATTATTTTTGGTAACTTTTCATATCTAAGTTGGCAGTTCGCCAAGACGTCAACGTCAAATCATCAGATGTGCAATCAAATTACGTAAAATTTATGTGTTTTCCTTGATTTTTGGTACACGAAGAACTTAATACATTCCAAATCAGCAGTTTACACATCCACCATAAATAAATTTATCTACGAATAAAAAATTACACATTCAAGGAATTTAAAGTTTCCAAATGTCAGTGTTGTGTTTATCTACGCTGCCAACTTAAAATTTGTCAACGTAAATGGTGTTGCCAACTTAAGACATATTGATTCTAAAGTTTCCTGTAGTTTTTCATAATTACTTTTTAATTAAATTAAAGCCCCGAAATAGAAAAAATAGTATGAAAAACACGTGTTACAATGCTTTATTGTAATATTCCTATCTTGTGGACACTCGTGGCTCCGCTTTGCTACGCCACTCGTGCCACAAGATAGGAGTATTACAATAGGTCGCATTGTAACACTTGTCTTTCAATATACTATTTTCTATATATTTCGGTGTTACAATGAGGATTTTGTGCAACGGTTTTCGGCAAAAACAGTGTTTCAAATGAGTGCCATTGTAACATTGTTTTTGGTAACTTTTCATCTCTAAGTTGGCAGTTCGCCAAGACGTCAACGTCAAATCATCAGATGTGAAATCAAATTACGTACGTAAAATTTATGTGTTTTCCTTGATTTTTGGTACACGAAGAACCTAATACATTCCAAATCAGCAGTTTACACATCCACCATAGATAAATTTATCTACGAGTAAAAAATTACACATTCAAGGAATTTAAAGTTTCCAAATGTCAGTGTTGTGTTTATCTACGCTGCCAACTTAACATTTGTCAACGTAAATGGTGTTGCCAACATAAGATATATTAATTCTAAAGTTTCTTGTAGTTTTTGATAATTACTTTTTAATTAAATTAAAGCCCCGAAATAGAAAAAAGAATTTGTGTAAGATAACTGTTTATTGCAGAAACGTTGTGTCGAAGTTTAAGGTACACGTAGAAAAATCAATTTGGATTTACCAATCCCTTTCTTTCATATCTAGGTATACATAAAAAAGACTTTTTAGTACATAAGATTAATTAATTTCATTAACCGTATTTTGGCTGGTGAACAAAGCGGTAACTGTGAAAATCAAATTTCCGTGACATAGAATGGCGGACGTTTGTAAAATACCTACCCATAATTAATTTTGGACTGTGCGTAGGAGGACAAACATTTGATATGCCCCTACATAACATGAGAAAGTGCACGAAGTAATAAAAGCATTAACCTTTGCAAACAAAATTTAACTCCTCTAATTAGCTGCTACTTAATTAAGTTGTTTATATCTAATTAAACGCCTATTATACAAGTTTGTCCTTATTTCACGTAAGGATTCGAATAATAGGATTCAAACTAGTTAGAGCTTTATGTTATTACTTTCAGCGAGTTTCCTGATTTTTATCAGATGTAAGTTTTCACAAGTGCACCTGTTTTAGGAAGCCATTATTTATAATTTATGAATATAGGTACATCATTCATGTCAAGGTTCACGTCAATTTTACATGAAAGAGGTGATATATTACGCTAACTTTAAAATAATTACGAATACATTTTTTATGAGATGAAATCTTGTACA